CTGCAGGCTGGTGGGTGGGTCCAAGGCCCCTGGGAGAACTGTCCTGCAGGCTGGTGGGTAGGTCCAAGGCCCCTGGGAGAACTGTCCTGCAGGCTGGTGGGTGGGTCCAAGGCCCCCAGAAGAACTGTCCTGCAGGCTGATGGGTAGGTCCAAGGCCCCTGGGAGAACTGTCTGCAGGCTGGTGGGTGGGTCCAAGGTCCCTGGGAGAACTGTCTGCAGGCTGGTGGGTGGTAGCTGGGTGTCCTCTGGAGGAGCAGAGGCAGGAGCGGAATCATCTGTTCCTTGATTGGGAGGACTCTCCTGGGCTGCAGGTTTACTTTGGGTGAAAATTCTAAGTTACGGATTCAGTGACATGAATGGTTATAGGTCCATTCAGGTTTCCCATTCCTTCTTAATTTGGAAAAGTTAGGTTTTACCAGAAATGTCTCCATTTCAACCAGAATTTCTTCAGATTTCTTGGCACGAGTCAAGTGTCCCCAGTTTCCCGCCTTTCACGTCTCTGCCGTGCCTGCAGCAGGGGCTCCTCTTCATCCCAGGGCCGTCCCCGTGTGCCCCACTTGGGCTTCCTCCGTCCGTCCTGCCGGAGCTGGTCCGTTGAATCAGACGCTTCTGAGAACCCACTCTCAGCGCCAGCACCCTTCTTTTCAGAATTGGTTCGTCTCCTTTTCCAGCTGTTTTCTTTCCTTCTTGCGTTAGGACAACTGTGTTCTCTTGCTACCTTCTTACGTTGAATATTGATTTTTAGCCTCTCCTGATCTGTCCATTTAGGGGTGTGCATGGCTCCAGCACGGCGTGCAGCTGCACCTCACATCGTCATAGGAAGCGGCTTTCATTATTTTTTAGTCGTAAGCATTTCCTAATTTATCTTACGATTTCTTCTTTTGCCCACGAGTTGGCGTGTTTTCTGATTTCCAAACATAAGGACACATGGCTCTCTTTTTGTTATCAATTTCTAACGAATTGCAGTGTGGTAAGAAGAGGAAGTCTGACTGGCATTTTTCTGTGTGGAGATGTGCTTTACGGGCCAGTGCGTGGTCAGCCTGCAGAGACATTCCACATGTGTTTGAGATAATGTGTCTTCTCCGTCTGTTTCCCAGAGTTCTGTTTGTGTTCATTGAGCAGAACTTGCGAATTGTATTGCTCACATTTTGGTTTTCCTGACTGGTTTTTGGCTGGTTGTCTGCGAAGTCTCTCACCGTGGTGGGACGTGTCTTCTTCTTTTCTTTCCGTTGCCCCAGTTTTTACTTAGACATTTTAAAGCTGCTTTACCAAGCACAGACATTTGACGTTGTGATTAGTTGGTTTTCCCATGGCACGGCGAACTCTGCATATCCAGTAATGCTCTTTCCGTGACATCTCTTGTGCCAGACACTGGAGATGTGACCCTAGCTGGCTTTTCCTGTGTGACTTTCAGCCTCCCCTGACGTTTCGGATGTGCCTCCTAGAAACAGCAAAAGCCTGCACGGTAGATTGTTTTTGTGTCCAGTCCAGTGGTCCCTGCTTTAAGTGGAAATGTGGGTCGCCTGCTGTGAGTTTGCTGCCTTTTTCAGGTGCATCTTACCTGCTTCTGTTTGTCCCCGTTTTCGGAAGCTTTTTGCCTTCTCTTTTCTCCCTTCTTCGGCATAATTGAGGGTTTCCTGCATTCCATTTGTTCCCCCTACTGAGTCCAAAGATGTAGAACCTGTTTTCTTGTTTTTCATTCATTATCTTTAACAATCGGAGCACGTGTTCTCAACACAGTCCGCACCCTCACTCGCACCTCCATGCAAACCAGAGCCCGGACTGGGCGAGCCCCATTAGGTGCCAGCGAAAACACAGAGCACCCGGCTGGGTCTCCTTCCACTGCCAAACCACGTGTTTATCAGACATTGAAATTTAACCAGGGCCGTGAATGGTTCTGTTTCTGTTTTACTAAATTCAGCAGCCCTCGCCCCAGTGCCCATCCTAGATTATGCCACTGACCGGTACTTCATTTCCTTCTTTCTTGTGTTGGATTGCACTGATGAGACACCATGATGATTCTCGATGTCATCCCTGCTCTTTCAGGCTCTCCTGCACGCATGCCGCCTTCTTGGCTCATCCATTCTTCTCATTCCTCACACTGTCTTCTAGGATTATTTTCACGCTGCCTTAAGTGTAACACACCGATTGCAGTGTCCCTCGGGAAAAGACTTGTGTGGTCAACCCAGCTGTGTTTGTTACGGGGAAGGTCTTTATTTCACCCTTGTTCTTGGATGATAGTTTCGCTGGATAAACAATTCTGGGTTGACAATTTGCTCTCAACGCACTGAATATTTTAAGCCCCTGTCTGCCTGCTTCTACTGCTGTTAAGAAGTTGGTGTGTGGGCAATGGCTACCCCTTGGAAGATTGTTTTCTCTAGCAGCTTTTAGAATTTTCTTTTTGTTTTTGATATCCTGCAGTTTTACTCTGATAATGCCTAGGTGTGCCTTCCTGGGTTTGTTTTTTTTTTTTTTTCCCCTCCTGCTAGGATCTCAAATCTTCCAGGTCAGGTGCGTAAATCTTTGGCTGTTTCATCATACAGAAATGTCATGTATGTTTAATACTCCTTGGCATATGTACGTTTTAGGATTTCTAACTGGTAATTTCAACAACTGCAGTCTTTAAGGATCTAATGTACATTCTTAGTAAACTTTTAATTTTGGGGTAGTTTTAAGATTTACAGAGACATTACAGAGATCACATACAAGCTCCTCATTCCCCTCAGAAAATGTCTTCTACTGTGAACGCCTGACTTCGGCAGGAGTCATTTGACACAACTTAGAAACCAACACTGACTAGTAATTTACTCCAGCGTGAATTGGGATGTCACCAGCTTTGCCACAACTGCCCTTCCTCTGTTTTAGAGTCCCACCAGGATCACATGTCACAGTTAGTCATTTTGTGTCTTTTGTCTCCATCTTGTGTTGTTTTCCAAGGAGCATTGGCCGCGTATTTTGCAGACCGTCCCTGAGTTTGTGTTTGTCCGAGTATTTTCTCTTAGATCTGTGTTTTGGGGAGGAAGATGACAGAATCGAAGTTCCAGTTGCCTGTCAGGGTGTGTGCTGCCGGTACAGCTCACCAAGCTTCATCATCTGCTGAGCATGCTGCCTGTTGGGTCCTTTCACCAGCAGGTTACGCTTTTACCGCCTTTCCAGATGTATTCTTTGAAAGGAAGTCACATTCAGTGCAGCACACACTCAGGGGGACAGAGCTGGGGAGGCATTAAGCCTCACCTCCGGGACAGGGGAGTAGGTGCATGCGTTATTTGAAATTCCCAAGGATCTGCCTCTGCTCCCTGTGTATTTATTTGGTCATTTATTCATATCCCTGTGAACTCCTGGATATCCATCTTATACTTCGGGTCATGTTTCAATACCGTACTTATTTTGTTGCCCAGCTGGTTCCTGCTCTGGCCCCAGGGCACTTTTCAGAACGGCCCTGCGAGTCCTTTGAAGGCCCATCCCTCAACCTTCAGGCATATCCCGATTTCCCAGCTCCCCGAGGTGCTCCAGACTCTCCTTGTGTTTTCCCCGCCCCAGCCGTGGACCCAGCGTTCTCCGAGGAGCCCCGCCTGCCTTCATTGGAGAATGGGATTGGGAACCTCACTCATCTCTCCTGATGCGGGCTCGTGCCGGCTGCTTCCGTGTTGTTTGGGGGTTTTGTGACTGGGAGCTCATGCTTCCTGGAAGTTAACCAGCTGCACTGATCTGAATCCTGGTGTGGGGACGCGTGCCTCAGGCGAGGTCCTGCAGTGGCTTCTGCCGGTGCCCGGCCTGGCGGAGCTGCCACGTCATTATAGCTGTCCACTCACAGTGTCTAGAACCAGGCAGGTTCTCAGCGCCCCTTTGTCTTTTCACCTCTACCCGGAAGCCAGAATTAAAACCAAACGCTCCTTTTGATGACCTCTGTGGGACAAGCTGCTGATGTGCGCCTGTCCTGACTCACCCATCCTTTCCTGACTGGTCTTCCCAGCCCCCGCCTGCACAGCCCAAGGCTGGCCCCAGGACACCTGGGAACACGGTGCTCTGGCCTCCCCAGTCAGGTCCAGCTTTGTTCTACACCCAGCAGATTTTTCCTGTTGTATTTCTATATTTGTATAACCCATTTCAGTCAACCAATTTTTTTTTTTTGAGACATGGTCTCTCTGTGTTTCCCAGGCTATCATGCTGTGGCACAGTCTCGGCTCACTGCAGCCTCCCCCAACCAGGTTCAAGCGATTCTCATGCCTCAGCCTCCCAAGTAGCTGGGACTACAGGCACACACCACCACACCCAGCTGAGTTTTGTATTTTTAGTAAAGGGGTTTCACCATGTTGCCCAGGCTGGTCTCGAATTCCTGACCTCAAGTGATCTGCCTGCCTCAGCCTCCCAGAGTACTAGGATTACAGGTATGAGCCACCGCACCTGGCCGATCAACCATTTTTAATTGTGTTGTAAATGCTCTGCTTTGCCCTGTAATTTACCTGTAAACTTATTCCCGTTTTTCCCTAAGCAGGGAAAAACTCGGTGTGACGGATTCCCTCTGTGAGAGATCCGACTTCTTCCATTTACATCTCCCCTGACCCCACCTTCTACTGTCCTGGGAGAAAACCAAGATCAGGGGATATTCAAACATTCTTACTTACTAAGAAAAGACAAGGGAAAGGAAAGTGGTGAAATAAGCCTCACTCCCCCGATGTAACCCTGTGGCGTCAATGGCAGATTCCAAGCTGGTGTGCTGGTCAGGCCACTCTGGGACTGTCTTTCTTCCTGCTACTTATAGGAACCCACAAATACACCTTACAGTGTCCTAAAAAAGACATAAAGAAAATAAATCCTCTTTTATTAAAAATTTTAAACACCAAAGCACATTTGGCTTTTTAAAGTTATTTTTTCTGCTCTGTGGGCACATGCACTCCACAATGGACTCTGCCCAGGAAACAGCTGCTGTCTCGGAGCCCCATCTAATGCACATGTGGACTGTGTCAGCAGTCTTGATATTCCTGTGTATTTTCTTCCAGCTTGATCCCCTCCCAGAAAAGGTTTTACAGCAAAGACCCAATGCCAACGCTGTCCGCTCCATGGAGAAGGTCATGGAAATCCACAGTAAGTTGTCTGGATGCTCACAGGGGACATGCCCCAGTGGTGGGGGACTCCACAGTGCCCCATCCCTGTCTCACTATGCCCCCAGCTCCCTCCATCCCATACCGGCTGCTTCCCCAGGCCTGCAGCAGGAGGCCTGGCTTTCAGCTGCATTTTATGAGCTGGTGGAGACTCACATTTAACCCCAACTGGATTTCCCACAGCCCGCTGGAGTGGTTCCATCATCCCATTTTGTAGGTCTGGAGAATCAAGGCCTAGACAGTCTCAGTGTGGAGTCACTTGCTCCAGGTCCCCAGCTAGCAGCAGGGACCATGGCTGTGAGCCTGTGCCCTGGGGACTCCAGCCTCTTCCCTGGACCACAGAAGCCCACACCCTGAGCTGAAAGAACGCTTGGCCCCACAGAGAAAAAGGGTGTAGGCCCTCCGCATTCTGGCTCTGCCCCTCAAGCAGGGGCGTGGCATGCAGCCTGTCTCAGAGGCACCTCCCACGCCCTGTCGTCACAAGCCCAGCTTGCCTTTGAGATGACCCACAAGGTTGAGACTGTCCACAGAAGCAGGTGCAGTCCAGAGCTCAGCTCCCCATTTCCCTGTGTGGGGGAGTCCTGGCCTCAGAGCCCTGAAGCTGACCCTGGGCCAGCCCAGCCCTCCACATACACCCCCTTGCACCTGGTGCAGTACCCGTCCACCCAGCCTCTGTGAGGGCCCAGGCAGAAGACCCCTCAGCCCCAGTGACAATCCCCCAGCTCACCTGCTCCCAGAGATGGGAAGGCTCAGCCCAGCAGGTTGGAAGCCCACACTCCTGGCCACCCAGGGCAGAAAGGGGCCCGTGAGCATGGAAAGTCAGGCCCACCAGACCCTCTGTCTGCAGTCCTAGGCCGGCTTGCTCCTAGAGGGTCTCCAGCCACTCATGATGGGGAAATATTTCCAGAGATTCTTGGTCTTTGTGAGTTTGCAGCCGTGTCTCTTCGAAGAGGGCTGCTTTTAAAATCACAAGGGATCGATATCGTTTGAGGCTCAGAGTCCTGCAGGACCTTCCCGGGCCACGGAGCCTCCTGCTGAGTTGCGGTCACTGAACGCCTTTCCTCGCCCCCCACCCCCCAGGCAAGTACTGGCGCTGCCTGCAACGTGCGGCCTCTACGGCGGGGCGCTCTCTGATTGAGGCTCAGACCTGCGAGAACGACGAAGCCGAGACGGTCACCGCCATGGCCTCGCTGTCTGTGGGCGTGAAGCCCGCCGAAAAGAGGTGAGCGCCTGCCCAGCTGCCCACCTGCCCCACTGCCCACATGCCCCACCGCCTGCCTGCAGGCTCACCCAGCCCCACTGTGCCCAGTGACATAAGGGTCAGAACCTTTATGGCACGTGCCCTACCAAGCTTGCAGGGCGGGCCCTGGGAGAGGGATGCCCATCAGATTAGAAACAGGCCAGGTGGCCCTCTCCGTCCAGTGCCAAAGTCCCTTAGAGACGCACAAGGAGCAGTCGATCCTGAACAGATGCCGCCCGGGCTAGGCCAGCAGGTGGGGCAGCACGCGGCCTTTAACCCACGTTCTGTTCTCTCTCTGCTGTGGGGCGCCTGCCCCACGCCCCTGTCTCTTTCTCTTGCGGGATCCACAGACCAGACGAGGAGCCCATGGAAGAGGAGCCGCCCCTGTAGCGCCCCCTCGAAGCTGCTGTTCTCTTGTCTGTCTGTCTCTGTCCTGAAGCTCAGCCAAGAAACTTTCCCGTGTCACGCCTGCGTCCCACCGCGGGGCTCTCAGAGCACCCAGGGACACCCGGTGTGCGACAGCCACGGGAAGCCTTTCTGCCGCCCAGGCCCGCAGGTTCGAGACGCACATGCACACCTGGGCGTGGCGGCCTCACAGGGAGCACGGGACAGACGCTGCTGACGCGCAGACACACGGACACGCGCAAGCCAAGCACACTCTGGCGGGTCCCACGAGGGACGCCGCAGAAGAAAGCAGCCTGCGGCGACAAGCGGCCGAGCCGCCGAATTCAGTTGACGCGAGGCACAGAAAATGAATATCAAAGATCTAATAATACACAACAAACTTGATTAAAACTGGTGCTTAAAGTTTGATTATTACACACAACTCCACAGTCTCTGTGTAAACCACTCGACTCATCTTGTAGCTTATTTTTTTTTTAAAGAGAACGTTTTCTACGGCTGTGGCCTGCCTCTGTGAACCATAGCAGTGTGCAGTGGTGGGGTCTGCACCCCGGTGGGGGACAGAGTGACCTTTAAAGAAGACAAAACTGGACAGAAACAGGAGTGTGAGCCTGGAGAAGCTGGCTTGAGATTCTCAAAGCCATCGGAAGATGCAAGTTTGTGCCTTTTTTTTATTGCTCTGGTGGATTTTTGTGGCTGGGCTTTCTGAAGTCTGAGGAACAATGCCTTAAGAAAAAATAAACAGCAGGAATTGGGGGGACAGTTTCCTGTGGCCAGCTGAGGCTGGCCGTGCCGGCCCCGCGAGCTGGCCTGAGCCCTGAGCTCGGGCACCAGCCGTCATCTCCGGGGCCAGGGGCTGCAGCCCCCGGTCCTCATTTTGCTTTATTGCTGTTTAAGGAAAATGGAGGTAGTTCCAAAAAAGTGGCAAATCCCGTTGGAGGTTTTGAAGTCCAACAAATTTTAAACGAATCCAAAGTGTTCTCTTCTCACACATCACATAGCGATTGAGCATCTCCATCTGGTCGTGAAGCATGTGGTAGGCACACTTGCAGTGCTACGGTTGGAATGCTTTTTATTAAAAGCAAGTAGCATGAAGTATTGCTTAAATTTTAGGTATAAATAAATATATATGTGTATAATATATATTCCAATGTATTCCAAGCTAAGAAACTTGATTCTTACGAAATCTTGATAAAATATTTATAATGCATTTATAGAAAAAGTGTGTGTGTGTGTATATATATATATATATATATATATATATATATATAAATGAATGAAGATTGCGAAGGTCCCTGTAAATGAATGACTTGTGAATTTGCTCTAAAGGTGCTTATAGAAAGGGATCCTGATTGAAATTCATGTATTTTCGAGCTCCAGATTGGCTAGATTTCAGATCGCCAACACGTTCGCCACTGGGCAACTACCCTACAACTTTGTACTTTAATTTTAATTATTTTGTAACAGAACCCCTTCTGTCTCCAAGCCTTCATGCACATATGTACCTAATGAGTTTTTATAGCAAAGAGTATAAATTTGCTGTTGATTTTTGTATGAATTTTTCACAAAAAAGATCCTGAATAAGCATTGTTTTATGAATTTTACATTTTTCCTCACCATTTAGCAATTTTCTGAATGGTAATAATGTCTAAATCTTTTTCCTTTCTGAATTATTGCTTGTACATTTTTTTTAACTTTCAAAGGTTTTTTTAATTATTTTTGTTTTCTTGTTTATTTTTGTACAGTGAGTTTTCTGCAGCGTACGGAATTGTTACCGTCAGAGTTTATTTTCAGAAAGTGAGAGGAGGGACCGTAGGTCTTTTCGGAGTGACACCAACGATTGTGTCTTTCCTAGTCTGTCCTAGGAGCTGTGTAAAGAAGCCCAGGGCTCTTTTTACCTTCAACACTAGTAGTATTACGAGGGTGGTGTATTTTCCCCTCCATGGCAAGGACAGGGAGCGTCGCTTGGGATGCCCGGCCACTCGGGAGGCTTGCCAGACGCCATGAGCAGTCAGCATTAATGAAACTCATGTTTAAACTTCTCTGACCACATTGTCAGGATAGAATTCTAACTTCAGTTTTCCAAAGACCTTTTACGCATGTCAGCAATTCATGGGGCACACGTGAGGCTCTTTACCCATTTGAGTTTTCCACCGCAGCCACGTGGCCGGCCCTGGATTTTGGAGCCTGTAGCTGCAAGGAACCCAGGACCCTTGTTGCCTGGTGAACCTGCAAGGAGGGCACGATTTCCTGACCAAGACAGCCAGTCTTGACTCTCTTTCTTTTCAACTGTAACTGACAGTCACGTCTTACTGGTGACTTATTTTCTAGCACCTGAAGCCACCAGTTTCATTCCAAAGGGTATCAGATTCAGACCTGTGGGCAGACATTCAGATACACTGTGCTCAGGAGGGTCCCAGAGCCAAGTTTCGAAGTTTGGTAAAGTTTACAGGGTAGCTTCTGAAATTAACTCAGACTTTTGACCAAATGAGTGCAGGTTCCTGGATTCACTTGGTCACGGGGCTGCTGATGGTCAGCTCTAAGACGGTGGTTTGAGAGCAGGGCAGAAGGTCTTGGGACTTGTTTGACTTCCCCCTCCCTAGTGGCCACTCTGCTCTGAAGCCCAGATTGGCAAGAGGAGCTGGTCCATTCCCCGTTCATGGCACAGAACAGTGGCAGGGCCCAGCTAGCTGGCTCTTCTGGCCTCCTTGGCCTCATTCTCTGCACAGCCCTCTGGGGATCCTGCCACCTGCCCTCTTACCCCGCCATGGCTCATGGGGAGGAATGCATCATCTCACTTTTTTTTTAAGCAGATGATGGGGTGACATGGACTGCTCGGTGGCCAGGTTATCATTGGGGGGCTTAGTTCTAATCTCATTCAAATGGAGACATCCTCTGTGCAAAGGCCTGGCAAGGGGAGGCACATTTCAGCTGTCAGCTCACTCCAGCTTCACAAATGTGCTGAGAGCATTACTGTGTAGCCTTTTCTTTGAAGACACACTCGGCCCTTCTCCCTGGCAAGTGTCCAGGGCAGATGGCGGAGGATCTGCCTCGGCGTCTGGGGGCGGGACCACATCAGGGAGGGAGCCTTCAAGGGCTCTCCCTGTGGGTCCTTGGACCTTTAGCTTTTTTCTTCCTTTGCAGAGGCCTTGGGGGCACTGGCTGGGAGTCAGCAAGAGAGCACTTTATATCCCTTTGAGGGAAACCCCGATGACGCTACTGGGCCTTTTGGCGTCTGCCCTGCCCTCACGGCTTCCCGCCACGCCACAGCGTGCCCACGCCCCACCAGCAGACGGCTGTCCCCAAGGCCGTTGCCCGCTGGGACTGGCCGCCCCTCCCCAGCATCCCAGGGCTCCGGTTCTGGAGGGCCATTTTGTCAAGGTGTTTCAGTTTTTCTTTACTTCTTTTGAAAATGTTTGCAAGGGGAAGGACCATTTTGTAATGGTCTGAACAAAAGCAAGTTTGATTTCTGCAGCACTAGCAATGAACTTTGTTGTTTTTATTTTTGATCAGAACATTCCTTCTTTACTGGTCACAGCCATGTACTCATTCCATTCTTCTTTTTGTAGACTTTGGGCCCACGTGTTTTATGGGCATTGATACATATATAAATATATAGATATAAATATATATGAATATATTTTTTTAAGTTTCCTACACCTGGAGGTTGCATGGACTGTACGACCGGCATGTCTTTATATTGTATACAGATTTTGCACGCCAAACTCGGCAGCTTTGGGGGAGAAGAAAAATGCCTTTTTGTTCCCCTCTCATGACATTTGCAGATACAAAAGATGGAAATTTTTCTGTAAAACAAAACCTTGAAGGAGAGGAGGGGGGGAAGTTTGCGTCTTATTGAACTTATTCTTAAGAAATTGTACTTTTTATTGTAAGAAAAATAAAAAGGACTACTTAAACATTTGTCATATTAAGAAAAAAAGTTTATCTAGCACTTGTGACATACCAGTAATAGAGTTTATTGTATTTATGTGGAAACAGTGTCTTGGGGAAACTACGCAGAATTCAGAGTGAACTGCCTGTCTCTCTCGAGTTGATTTGGAGGAATTTTGTCTTGTTTTGTTCTGTTTCCTTTTATCTCCTTCCACGGGCCAGGCGAGCGCCGCCCGCCCTCACTGGCTTTGTGATGGTTTATTCTGATTGAGAACCGGGCAGACTCAAAAGAGTCCCCTTTTCCGCACAGCTGTGTTGACTTTTTAATTACTTTTAGATGATGTATGGCTAAGATTTCACTTTAAGCAGTCGTGAACTGTGCGAGCACTGTGGTTTAAAATTATACTTTGCATCGAAAGGAAACCATTTCTTCATTGTAACGAGGCTGAGCTTGTTCTTAGCTCGGCCTTACTTTGTCTCTGGCATTGATTAAAATCTCCTATTGAAAGAAAAAGAAAGCGAACAGTTTTTGTTTGTTTGGGTTTTTTTTTGTTGTTGTTTTTTTGTGTTTTTTTTTGCTGTGTGTGCTCCATAGTGGGGGCGCTATTTTCCAGTTGATGAGAATGACAAACATACATAATCTATCTATCTGTAACGGGGGCTTGAACCTTAATCACCCAAGAGCTTCTTACGGAATGTGGTAGAAAACAAAGTTGTAACGACACTGTATCCCACTTGATGCCTGTTCGCGCCTGGCGTGGGCTCCGCACTGGCCGTGACCACCATTCTCTGTGATTTAATCCCTTTCTCTTGGATTGTCTGGATGTGCCCAATGGTTCTTTCTTTTGCTCAGTGGAGTTGGAGGTTTTGTGTTTGGTTTTCTCATTCTTGTTTTGTGTGGATGGATTTTCACTGACCAATGATATCCTCTTCTGACGGTCAACTTCTTTCCACTTCACTGGAGTCCAGTATTCTGTACCACATCACACGACCTGTTACTCTTGTGGTGTAAATAAAGACTGCGTTACTTGCCCTCCCAGCTCTGGTTTCTGCCGGTGCACTCTCTTCCTCATTGGCTCTCGCGTGCCTGGGACCCTGTGGGCTGAACGGCCAGTGCCCTGGGTCCCATCGGGGTGGGAGCCTGGAAATCTCTGGGCCCCATGGGGACGGCCCCTAGACCCAGACCAGTGGCAGACCTGTCCTCCTCTGCCTGTATAATTAGGTCCCCTGGGAGTGTCTTCATTTTAAAGGTCCAGTAATTTAAATCTTTACATTATCTTCTCCCCCAAAACGCTTACCAAGCCGTGGTGATCTGGAAACAGCCTTGGAGAGAACAAGGCCAAAGAGAGGGGCCCAGGCTCAGCCACCTGCCCACAGCCGGGCAGACACACCTCTGAGACTGGAGTCCAAGCACCAGCCACAGCTCCTGACCCCCAGCAGTGTCCCTTCCCGGGCTCCCGCATCCAGTGACTAATCAATTGGGTGTGGGGAAGTGTAAGCACCAGGCCACCTTGGCCCAGCTTAGGACAACTCAGTGCCTGCTAGCTTCCCAGAAGGTGCCTGAGGCCCCACGGTGGGGCCTGGTCCGAGCTCAGCCCTCCTTTGCCTGATTGTCTTCCCTCCTCCCATCACAGCTGCCAAACCAAGGGCAGCTTCACCACCGCACACGCTGAAGCCCACCCAGTCTGCTTCCCAGCAGCCCACGGCTCCCAGGTTGCCCCTGAGCCCCCAAAAGAGATCTCTGGAGCAGAAGGCCCTACTGGCCCCCAGGCACTGCCTCATGGTGAGGGGTAAAGGGGTTGCTCAGTTGGCCCCAGTATAAGAAGAGATACTTGGAGCCTGCAGCCACTGAGGCTGCGGTGGTTCTGGACAGATGCAATTGGCATGTCTAACTGGTTATGTTAGTTACCTGCGGCTTGCAACAGATTACCTCAAAACTTAACAGCTTCAAACAGCAGACCTTCGTGACCTTGGAGTTTCTGAAGGTCCGGAGTATGGGTGTACTTCGGCAAGGTCCCTGTCTCGTGGTCTTCCCGGGGGGCGGTCCAGTCAAACTTGCAGCCAGGGTTCCTCTGGGGGCTCCGCTGCTGGGGGGCCAGGCTGGGGGGGTGCCCTCCAGGCACATGACTGTGGCTGTGGATGGCCACTTCCCTCACCCAGTAGGCCTCTCCAAAGGGCTGCCTCGAGGCCCGGCCATCAGGATCCCCATGGCCAGTGGTCCAGAAGCCAGCTGAGGACGCACCAGAGACAGAGCTGGTCTGTTTACAGCCTCATCTTGGAGGTCACATCCCATCACTTCCGCCGTGTCCATGGGCATAGAAGCCCGTCCAGGCGGCCAGCCCACACTCACGGGAGCAGCTTCCTGAGGGCACTGTGCCGGGGTGCCGCCCAGCCGGTGGAGCAGCCATCTTCTTCCTGACCTAATTTAACTCAGCAAATCGTCAGCTTCGCCCTCAGAATGTGCCCATCTCCCCCGCCCTGTTCCCAGGCCTCCCTCCACGCCCATCAGTCCCCGAACCCAGGGGCCGGGAGGATGCCGGCTCATGTCACCTCTGCACAAGGCCCAAGGACCCTCAAAATCGGATTCCGCTGTGCTTCCCCGGGTTTGTCTATCTATCTCACATGCTAGAGCAGGAAGTTGGAAAAGGGTCTACTCTATCCCAAGAGACGAAGACATTGCCGTTCCCCAGTAAACAGGTGGAATGAATGGTCCTGGGTTCCGTGTTCCGGATTTCATCGTGGGGGCTGTGAACTAGAAAGCTTTGAAGCCTATTTTGGAATGCTAATCCTTTATCTGTCGTACATGTCAAGTATCTTCTGGTCTTCAGGTTCTCCTCTTTCTCTCTCTCTGAAAAAGCCAGACACATTCAGAAGTCGTTCTGAGGCCCTGTGTGCTCATCAAGCTGCCTCAACAGCTGTAAACACTCCCAAATTGTTTAGTCTACACCCTCCTCACCCCAAACAGGGTTGTTAGTAGGCGGAATCCCAGACATCTTATCAGTTCATCTGTAAATATCTCAGTAGATTTCGCTCAAAGATAGACTCTCTTCTTAGACATAACACAGTATCTTACCCACTGTCAAAGTGGGCAGTTTCATATCATGATCAAATATTCAGATTTCCCCATTGTTTCAGATTGTCTTGGCTTTTTTTTTTTTTTGTCTTGCAGTGTATTTGTGGAAGAAATCGGGCCATTTATGCATTTGTACGTCCACTGTGTCCTAGCCCACTCCTCCGTTAAGTACAGGACAGACGGGCAGGTGGGCCTAGGGCACTGACTGATTCAGGCTCAAACCCCTAGCATGAGCCCCTCAGAGGCAGGGCCCACCCTTGTTTGGTGTGGCCACCTGCTTGTTATTTTATGGGGGTTTGAAGGGGGTGATGCTTTATTGCCACCCCACCCATCTTCACAAATGAGATTAAATGCATTCACATTCACAACAAGCAACTGTGATCCATTTCTAGGCCCAATACCTTTGTTTAGAAAAAGGTAGCCCAGCTCAGCCGGGCGCAGGGGCTTGCGCCTGTAATCCCACCACGTTGGGAGGCCAAGGCGGGCAGATCGCAAGGTCAAGAGGTCGAGACCATTCTAGCCAACGTGGTGAAGCTCCATTCTCTACTAAAAATACAAAAATTAACTGGGTGTGGTGGTGCGCACCTGTGGTCCCAGCTACTCGGGAGGCTGAGGCAGGAGAATCGCTTGAATCCAGGAGGCGGAGGTTGCGGTGAGCCGAGATCGAGCCACTGCACTCCAGCCTGGCAACAGACTGAGACTCTGTCTCAAAAAAAAAGGCGGGGGGGAAGTAAACACGTAAAGGCTACAATTACAAATTGGAAAGGATTTCCACTCAGTGTCCATTGACACGAAATCTTTCAGCCAAGAATTCATGGATGGTCACACTATCACTATTTTGGGACGGAGTCTTGCTCTGTCACCCAGGTGGAGGGCAGTGGCGCAGCCCCCGCTCACTGCAACCTCCGCTTCCTGGATTCAAGTGATTCTTCTGCCTCAGCCTTCCTCCCGAGTAGTTATATATATGAGAAATACATATCCTATACTTATATTGTACTATATGTGAGAGATTAGAATCATATATGAGACCTGAAGTTTTATTTTTAAATGCACTTAAAATTTCTATTTAAAGGAACTCTCTGGCCAATTACACTGTTTTGCTGATTTGACTTCAAATGCAATAACATTTTATTTTCTGATAGTGATGAAAAATAAATTCATATAAAAATTTGGAGAAGAAAAGTGTGGCTTCGTAATTCATGCAAGTATTGGGATTTATGTACAAAAACTAAATGGTGCAGTGTTCTCAGTTTCTTACGCGGCTTAAAAGTTTTTATCTGATATCTGAGTGCACAGAAAGTGGAAACTTGGGTTTGCAGCTAAATTGCGCTGTAGTTTCAGTGCATATTGTCTTTTACATAGGATGCTTTTGAAGCATAGGCCATGATACCACTCGGGAGGACCTGGGAAGTGGTTCCACTTAAACTTTCTGGGTGCAGCATTGGGGAGCTGTATTTCCCTGACACATTCTTAACTTCAGTCTGGATTCAGTGGCTCTTTGAAGTCGCATTAAACCCCTGATGGGTACTTGGGGCCTCCGACAAATGTCTTCCAGTGCTGCAGTTATTAATAAAGCCCCTTTGGAGAGTAAGCAGCCCCCGGTGATGGGCAGTTAGATGTGTGACAGAATGACAGGTGATGGCAGAGCTCATGTCCGCGTGGGTGACTCGGGTCTGTGAGCCCACCACAGACATTCGCAGGGCCCGAGGCAAGGGTTCCAGTAGAGACCACCGTGTGCCCAAGTCCGGAGACACAGATCAAGCTCAGAAAGTGCTGCAGGGACATACAGGCTCCTCGTCCCTTGACAAATCCACCTCCCTTTCGTGCTGCTAGCAGGAGGCCAGGCTGGAGCTGCAGCTCTCAGCCTCCCGGGGGCCCTGGCACTGCCTCCCTCCTGCTCCTGCTGGGGGCACCACAGCCCACACCCCGCCCCCTGCTGCCTAGCTGCTTCTCAGACCTTCTCACCTGGCACTACACCCAGAATAGCTCCTCAGGGGTTCTCCCCAGATGTTCCACACAGCATTTCTGCCTAAGAGCCCCTGGGGCTCGTGGCCACAGCAGCTGCCGGCGAGGCCGGTGGGGGACACATGCCACGTGCTCATGTGTCCAGGTGGAAATTGAGAGACACCAGAGTCTGCCATAGAACCAAGCACCTGCAAACGTCACCCTCACATGAGGGGCCACTGCGCCCCGTCCCCTACAACCCCAGGGCCGTTCCGTGAGGCCCACACTCTACCCGAGAGGTAGCTGTGCCAGTGGGAAGGCGTACGGTCAGGATGGTGCCGGCTGGACTCTCTGGGTGGGCACAGGCAGCTAATGATGCCCGCGAGGTGGCCAGCCCTTACAACCACATTCGCGCGAATCCGAGGCCCCCTCCTTTCCTGGAATCAGTCGTGCGAAACTTCCCCAGAGAAGAAGGTGGCAGACGCAGTCCAAGGTAAGTGTCGTGACCAGAAGGAAGTCACCAAATGACGCCAGACCGGGAGCTGGCACTGTGCTGTCTGGCCAGTGAGTTACTGCGGACTAAGGATGACAGTCGCACGGGTACCAGGACAGATCCACGAGTAACGGCTGTGTACACGGCAGCGAGGCCGATGATGCCGTTCAGGCGCAATCACCAGAAATACACAAAGACACTTCCCAGAGGTGTTAGGCCAGGCACATACAGGAGCATGCCACAGAAATAATAACCACGCGATGAAAATCGTGGATTCTCCTACAAGCTCCAGGTGGGAAGGGCTGCTGAAGAGGGAACAGATGAAGAGTCACAGTGGCATCTCTCTACACGGTGCCTCTCTAACGTGGTCCCTGCTGGCAGTGATGTGGCGGGAGGCAGGTGGCTGCCTGACGGAGAGCTGGCCAGCCAAACCCAGAGGCCCTCCTGCCTCCGTCAAAAGGTGGGAAGAAACTGCGGATATTCCGTATGAGTCCGTTCTCACGCTGCTGTAAAAAAATAGCTGAGACTG